CTAATATAAAATCAAAATTAGGATAAAAATACATATCTTAAACTAAAAGAGAGAATTAAGTCCTATTTGATTATAAAAATGTTGCGTTATTTTAATTATGCTTCATGTTTTCAAATATTTATAAATAAAACATTCAAAGTGTTAATTTTATAATTATCAGGAAAAACAAATGAAAATATAAAGCATTTCTTTAAACTGAAAAGATTTTGAACATTTTAAAACTAAAAATTAGTTAATAGAATACTATTTGTCAAATTATTATATTATTTCCAATTTATTTTGTTATAAAAAGTAAAAGTAAACAAACTATAAAATATAAGTATCAAAGTATTTGTGAAGTGTCTATTTTGAAGCGTATGTGCGGAATACTAGCCCAGCCAAAACATATTTAAACAGCAAATATAATTCCTATGAAAGATTTTAAAAAGAGAAAGAAAAACCCGAGAGAAAGGAAGAGAAAATGGGTATTGGGTGGCTTTTAAACCTCAAACAGAACTTCATGTAATATAAAAATGATGGGTCCTAGCCATAAGGTAAAATGTAGCCTTTTTATGGCTGAAAGGGAGAGCAAATGCATTGCCCTTTTAACATATTGCCCAAGTTTTAATGACAATCTACCCATTCAATAATCTTAGCATGAAATTCTAAGTTGGTGAATTTGACTTCGGATCTCATTATGATAATTGGTCCCTAAAAGGAAACAGCGATCATTTGGAGCAACTGTTGAAGCAAGTGGAGAAACTTTTTGATAAAAAAATACTTGATCTTATGATCCTGATAAAAAATGTGAAGCAAGGAGAAAGAAGAGACTCACATAGATGCAGGTAAACGGTGTCGAGCTTCAACAGCATGAGGAGAAGCACCCATTGTTCCTCTCATATTAACTATTCAGCTACAGGGGCATGCAACACATGATCTGCACAAAAATAAGAACCAAATTTATTGAATTTATCTAGGCCCAAGAAAGAAACTGAATTGCTAAAAGAAATGGTTCAATCAACTATCCTAAAAAGTCATCTTTTTCATGTTACAATTATGCGGGGAATGTGAATTGGTTTTCAATATGTAGATAGAAGAAGAAAAAAAGTTGAAAGGAAGTGTCAAAAGGAAACGACCACATAGTACATGGTGCAAGGCAAAAACACAATCTTGAACGTTGTTAGATACCAACCAAAACGCAGGAAACAAGAGACAAACAATGGTGTTGTTGTGATGCACAGGGAGAGATATGTGTAAAGCTTACACCTTTTGGAGGGGTTGTAAAGAACAAAGAGAAGGGAAGGGAAGAAACACTTGATGGCATAGTTGAGGCGTTTGAGTCAATATAGACAGAGTGACCGAGTAACGTCCTTCAGAATTTTTCCTTCATCTTTCAGTTTCATTGTAGTTCTTGGTACTCACCAACTCTGCTTCATCTCTCAATTTCTTTTCTTTTATTATTCCTAATCTCTCTCCCTCTCTCTATTTTTCCAGTTTCATTGGATGAGAAAAAACATTATGGTTAGATTAAAAATTTATTCTTACACCTGACACCAATTTTATTTTAGCTACATGAAAATATCATACATGGTCCCTACATAAAAATATGTTACTAATTGTTCATCATTATTTATCAAAATTATAATAGTGTTAAGGTTTTTTTCTTGTAAAGAAAAAAATAAAAATATATGTTAAGAGTAAGAATTAAAAGTAAAGTATTTTTTTACATAAAAGGCTAAAATAAAATGCAATTTATTTAGGAATATAGGAATGAAATTTTAATTTAATCAAACTTTTACTTTACATTCCTGCTGATGCTATTAATTTTTAGTTGACAAGCCACTATAATACAAAGGTGACATGCAGTTGTAGCACTTGATTGGCTGTGGAAGTCAATAGTTAGCAAAGTAAACATGGCCATTGCAATGACTTCCAAGATCTTTTAACTCATTTCAAGTACAAATGGCAATTAAAATTTCGTAGTTTAATAATTAAAGTTCCTAACATGCAAACCCTTTGCCCGCTTTCTTCCTATTTCCACAAGGGAAAGAGAAAATCAGTTTATTGCACTAATCTTTTGAATTATCTAAATTTCCATTAATTGGTTCATGATTATATATTAGAAGCATTTAAGAAAAAGAAAACAAAATTAAAACCAAAAAACAAAAACCGTCGTTATAGTGAGAGTTGTTGCTACTCACTAGGGATTAGGTTAACGAAAACAATTGTCCATTGGATTTAGAGTAAAGGTGACCACATGTCCCAATCCCATGTCAAACAGGAAAACCTAACACTCCTATTTTTTACAATTATCAGTAAATGTCCTTAACCAAGTAAGCCTGTTAACATTTTTGCTTTTACGTCCTTCCCCATGGGACTTTGGTTCCTGATTTTGAATGTTTCAACATGATCAGGGTTTGCATATATTCCCTCCTTAATTTTCTCATTTTCAAAAATGCCTTAGTTAATTGCATAGCCATAGTAGGTAAACACTCTTATCATTTTCAAAATATTCTCTTAATGTTTACTAATGAAGTTCATCTCCATTTGAAGAAATTAGATGGCAACATCAAACACCTAATCGGCTGCTAAGACAACTACACATGGCATTAGTTTATTGTTTTTTTGTTTTTTTCAATCTTATAACGTGATTATAATTAAATTATGCTTTAAATTGATGACATTAGTTTAAGTGTCCTTTCATGGACTATTTCACCAAACCCATGGTCTTGGCACTATCAAAATTCGTCAAAACTGCAATAAAAAGGTTAATTAACTGACATATAAAGATTTCATTTTAATCAAAAAAGGAACATTGCACCAGTTGACCACACCTGTTCCCTTCTCTCTTCATATTTGTTTTACTTTTACTAGTCTTAGTCTTTGCACTTAAGTGAAGACATACGGTTTAGGAAAATAGTGTTGGGAAGACACTTCCTTTTTATAAAGGGTAAGTAGTTAATTCAATGTTTTTAAACAATTTTTGGTAGCATCACCCACTATCATTTAACAAAAAAATGAACAATATGTCAAAGCTCTTGGCAGAATGGGTGGCACCCTATTATAACTGAACAGCCTTGTACGTTATTGGGAAGACTTGCTATAGTAATATGAAAGCCTTGCACCCATCGCTACTTATGTCTTCTACTCCATTCCATGAATTAGATTAGGTGTAAAACTTAGATATTTACACGGTTAAACACATTTTTATATATTATGAGATTAATCAATCAATTAAATTATTAGTTTAAATATTTTTATTAAATAGATCAAAGATATAAAATTTCGTTATAAAATAAAATAAATAGATACTTAATTATATTATTTTATTTTAATGTGTAATATATTTTAAAATATAAGTAAATACTAAATTTTGAATAACACATTTACAAATGTCAAAAGTACATAAAATATACATGATAGAAAAATACTATAAGATGATTTAACAGTTAGATTGATTAATTTTACATTATATTTTATAAATAATTATTAAGTAGTAAAAGTGTTTAAATTTGGCATCCTGTGTGATCGGATCTTGTACACAGAATTCTCTGAACTAGAGAGAGAGAGATTGGATCGTTGAAAGGAATTCTTTATACTCTGTAGTAAGACAGCATGAGATAAGGAAAATGAAAGGAATATGGAGACGTGAGGCAGCACGTATACTGTATTGCAAGCAAAGCAACTCAACGGCAATGGTTTAATTCTTGCACGCTTGTGGATTATGACGAAGCAGATTTTGTGAGTCCTAGTTTTATCCATTCGCTTTTCGTCGTTGGGAAAGGTTGAGTTTTGAAATCTAAGAATGGAGTAGTAGGACCACTTTGAAAACTTTGTCCTCTTCAGTACTTGTCCATTAGAAAGAATTGGAAACTTTATTCAACAAAAGAGAGGAAAGAATAAAAGAAGCTACATGTTATACAATAATTATATGTGGGGGCACAAGAGCATGACTGGGCTGTCCCTCTGCGCTAAACCTTACCAAGCAACCTCTAACGTGAGATTCTCTTGGCGCTTTCCTCTTAAATAATACACTAACAAAGTTAAGGCTTAGTGTTGTAACATCAAAACCATGTGTTTCTTTTACTTTTGGTCTGAATCCGCCACAATGTTGAATGTTTAAACATGGTTTAACTTTGCAGTATAGCTCAAGTGGTGAGAGCTAACAGGTTATATGCAAGATAACTAGGATTCCGAGTCCAAATAATTCTCACATCCGCTTCTCTCTCCCAATCCCCCTCCTCCAATGACCCTAAAAAATGATAATAGGGACTAGAGCATGTATATAGATATTCTTAATAACAAATAGGATGCATGAATTCATAATGCTTGTTTAATCGTTCAAAAGTTAGTAGAGCTTTGTTTTCACCCTTTAAAAGAAAGCCTCGTGTTATTGGCTTCCAGTTAATCTCTGAAAAAGATATCTTTGGATTCTTATGCATGCAAGCTTCTTTCTCTTTTCCTATTTGACAAGCGTTACTCGCAACTGCTTCCAGCTACACTCGTTGCCGTGCAAGGCAATTAGGATTTTGGAAATGGCATAAGCATACAGAGCACCACATCTACCGTTGGCGTTTCAACTGCTAAACGTAACAATTCAATTATTCGGATGTAGAACACCAATAGAATGTAGCTGTAATCAAGCATCGTAAACCCCGGCTCCTCTTCTTGAAAGATGGAGAAAGGGAAAACAGTACGAGGTTGCGTGATAAGTTATTGATTTGGGCTTAAGATACCGAAGGGGGGGAAAAAGAGAAAATACTTCAGAACTTAATCAACGAGTTCTAAAGTCGAATTAAAGAACAAGTAGATTCATTTAACTTTTTTGTTTCGTCCCTTTCAAGCTGAATACGATTATCTTTTGGAAGTACAGTAAAACTATTAAATTCCAATTCAAAATAAATAAATAAGCAAACTCCATGTCGAAGCTCACGAAGAGGGGTATATTCAGATTTTTTTATTTTTTTTTCCTTTCTCAAATACAGTTTCAGTAGAAATATTTTTAACATAGCAGTGAACATTTTTCTCTAGGAACAGGCTTAGAATAGTTTTATTTTTGCAAACCATGCAGAGCTAGATAAAATAAAGCCAAAATTTATATTATATCATGCTATGAGAGAAGCAAAATGGTATCATCATTACATTCGAATGAATCACAAATCAGATTCAGATTTATCCTCTTTAGGAGGTGCAAATTGCCTGCTGAGACGAGAACGTGTCCAGGGATCAAGGGGTGCTCTCGGAGGTGGTTGAGGAGTAGGTGGCTTTGACTGCCTAAGCTCATTTTCTCTGTCAATGAACCTGTATCAAAGCGCAAAAAATTAATTTTTACGGAGTTTCAATTTCAACCTCCTCTTTCTAAGCAACCATGAAGATTTGAAAGATTAAACTATAAATAAATTTAAGTACAGTTCCTTTGGTATTTTTTATACTGTTTTTCAATCAAAGTTAAAGTTTTAACTTAAAAGATTTACATTTATTATTTTTGTATTTAACAAGGTGAAACTCTAATTTTAATTGAAAAACAACACTAAAACAACATAGGGAACTGTACTTAAGTTTTGTCCTCAAACTATAAGGACACAGTAGATTAGGGTAGGGAAACAGGCAATATCAAGAACTATAAATTTGAGAGTAAATTAATGACTATCAAAAAGTAATTAGCAATGTACTCACTCGATATATGCCATTGGTGCAGCATCGCCCACTCGAATACGGGTTCGAAGCAATCTGGTGTATCCACCAGCTCTATCCCTGCACAAAATAATGTCTTTACAGAGTTGCAACTTACAGGCATAAACTGACAACAGAAATTATATCAGGTTTATTACTTACTTGTACCGATAAGCCAGTTCTGTAAACAGCTTGTGAAGGACATCATCTCCTCGCACAAAACTAGCAGCACGTCTTGCAGCACATACGGATCCCTAAAACAATTTATGATGTAAACTATAGGCCAATAACAGTCAAGCTAAATAAACGAACGAAATGGTTACCCTGCCATCAAGTTTATTATAAAGGCCAAGGTGAAAAAAAACTAACTATTTCTGAAACCATCAAAACTAACCAAAAAGGACCAAACAGAGAGACAGAGGGGACCAAATTGAGAAAAATAAAAGATGATGACTAAAGTGAGACTTTAAATGATAAGGAACCAAACTTATAATTTATTTAGCCTAATGTTTTTCATGCAAAATTAATTCATTATAAAGAAAAAGTTGGCTTCACATATATTCACAAAATTAATCATATATACAAGGGAAAGAAAACAGAGAGATAGAATACTGATCTGAAGGAAAAAGGGTAATGTAGGCACACAAAAAATGAAAAAACTGAGAGATAGACCTAACTTGTCCTAAACCAGGCTTAAAAAGATAATTAATTTATCGTCTGTTGCCACCAATTAATGGTTGCAGCTGCAATAGCAGCCATTTGCCATGGCACTTTAATGAAAAACCTGCGACACCATAACCTAGTATTAAAATTTTAATTTTGCCCCTCTCAACCTTATATTTTAGTTCCACCACCCCAGCATACCCAGAAATTTGAATGGCAAACCCACCAAACCATTCCATTTCCATCACAATGGCAAGCAGCAACCATACTAGCACTTCAATAGTCACCAGCAACAAATGCAAAGCTTGAATAAATTTCAAAGCGCACATCTGAAGTTATTAAGTAAAAGCACAAAGCAAAACTTGACCAAACACAAAAGTGGTCATATTTCCACAATTCCACGGCTTCAACCAAAACATCTTAGAACAAAATCAAAAGAAGCTACACAACGTGAAATTATCACGTGTAATAATTAAACTCACTGCGCAAATGAATTGAATCCAACATGAATTAGAATTAAAAACAAAGGCATACAAACCTCCTTTCCAAGCTGTACCATATTATCCGCAAGCCTTCGGATCTCTTTCGCCTACAACCAAATCACAAGCATCTTATATTCGAGAGAAAAACTGAAAATCACAATAAAAACGACGTCATTTTGATTAGTACCTTGGCAACGGTAGTTTCGATGCGCTCGTGCTTCACCAACTGGGAAACCATGGTTCTAAATAAGGAAAAGCAAAGAAGCGTTCAGCATCTATGCAAACGAAAAAATGAAGGAATTGAAATGGAAATAGAAACCTAAGCATGGACATGCGGTGACCGGTGGGTCGACCTAGTTTCCTAAACTTGGTCATTGTCGCAGACGCAGAAACCCTAGCTCGCTACCACTGCACTTTGCACACAACAGACACAGAAACCCTTGCTACGCTTCAACGATGCAGCTGGGCCTGCCAAACAGCCCAAAATTATCCAGTCAGTGTAAACTATGGTTCTTCTTTCACCTCCATTTTATTGTGTAGAAATTTTTTCTGATTTATACATGTTTTTAAAATGTATTTAATTTTAAAAAGTTAAATTTTGAAATTGATTATAAATTAATTTTGTAATTTAAGTTTGAAATATATATTTTAGAAATTAAATTAAAAATAAGTTATAATTTTTTAAAATTTTAATTTTCAGAATATATTTAATTACCTTTGAAAAATAAATTTTGGATGTAATATCACTTTGAAAATTTAATTTCATAAGAGGATGCAAAAAAGAGTGAATGTTGAAAATGAATATTTTATTTTATTTTGATAAATTAACTAATGTCTGTATAATTTAAATTTTACTTACATTTTTTTTGGTAAAATTAATTTTAAATATCCGTAAATCAATTTAAACGATAATCCTTATTAAAAATAAAAAAAATATTTTTTATTACAAGTATAAAAGGAAATATTCAAACGAACATGGGCGTACCCTTGACATTCCCGTTCCCAAAACACTGTTTCTCTGGCGATGTCACGGGTACTGCACTGCTACTGTACACTTGCTGAATTTTCATACAATTTTGAGAAGACATTATATTTTTATCTTTATTATTTTTAGGATTTGTGAAAATAATTCTTGAATTAAATAAAATATTATTTTATTCATTAACATATATAATTTTTCATTTAACTTTTATAATTTATCAAAATAATCACTAAATTAAACAAAATATTATTTTAATTTTCATCACATTTTAGTATATAATTATTTTAGTTTTTATAATTTTTAAGATTTATTAAAATAGTCACTAAATTAAAAAAAATAATTTACTTAATATGTTAAATATGAATTGAATATAATATTTAATATTTAATGATAATATATGATTTCAACTTAATTTTTAAATATTCTCTAAACTTTTTATGAGAGTTAAATTAATTTTTATATTATTATTAAATATTAAATATTTTATCCTAGTAATATTTAATATGTTAAGTCAACTTCTTCATTAAAATAATTATTGTTTAAGTGACGATATAAATTAAAATATTAACAATTATCTATATTATGAATTAAAATAATTATGATATAATATATTAAAAATGAAAATAATATTTTACTTAATTAAAAATTATTTTAATAAATTTTATAAACAATAGTGATAAAAATATCATTTACTCAACAAATTTTTAGGAGTCCTTCTATAATTTATATTATATGTATGTCTTTAGTTATTTAAACGATTTGGTACTAATGGAGTTACATGTAGAGTTATTTTAGACACATATCAATAAGAATTTTATTTAAACATATTGAGTAAAAAAATTATTTAATTATTTAATTATAATTTTTTATATAATTTAATTATTTTTACTTTCATAATAATTTATTTACAAAAGATATCTAATATAATTTTTAATTAATTAATAATGTAAATATTTTTATATTAATAATATATTAAAATTAAATTATGTCAATAATATGTGACGTACATATAACTTGGTATGGTAAGTTCATGTTTTTTTATGTTTTTCAAAATCATAGCGAGAAGAATAAATTTAGCAAAATATATAGCTACTCGGTTAGAGACACGAATGGACGCAACAATATTTATTGGACTGAAATCAAGACGCAATGTTAACTGATAGATATTTGGTGGTAAAATTTGGTCGTTTGAATATGACATAATTGACTCAATATATAATATTATATATAATTATTCTGAAAAAATAATTTAATTTTTAAAGGCTAAAGTGTTATAAATTAAATCTTTTAAATATTTTAGTCATTTAAATTAATATTTTACAGATCCAGATCCTCTCATGTTCTGGCGCAAACATGAGCATCTTGTCCAAATTCGCTTAAGCAAATTTCCAACGGCTTAAGCGAATTTAAGTGAATTTTCACTTAAGCCAAAGTTTTTAGCTTAAGCGACGCATTTATGGAATCCTGGCTTCAAAGCGAGGCCAAGCGAGAGTTGGAGATTATCCGCTTAAGCGATAAATCACCGCTTAAGCAAATATGGAATCGCTCCGTTTCGCTCAAGCGAGCCTTGTCTCATATTAAGCGAATTTGGAACAGAGAGCCATGTATTGCAGGGAAGGTACTCGCTTAAGCTATTGTATATTCGCTTAAGCGAATACGTTATTAGCTTAAGCGGATGCAAGCGAATTTGGGACAGATAGCACTGATTCACAGAACCATAAATCGCTTAAGCTAATTTGGGTTCGCTTAAGCGAATGGATGCATAGCTTAAGCCAAACTTGTGAGGTTGGAGCGCAATTAAAATAGCTTAAGCGAATTTGAGGGCTTAAGCGAATTATGCAGAAAGTGACATTGCTACATAGGCAATTAAAAAACAAAAGAAGCAGAGCCATTCCTAACCATTCTATTCCAGAACAACAGAATCAAATATCATTATTCAATACACTTCAAAATATCAATTGATTTTACCAGCATAACATGGATAAAAACTTAAGTCCATTCCATTAATAAAATATAATTGTTCAAAATGAAAGCATATACAAAACTAAATCCATGACAAAATAGGAAATATTTCAAAGTAAATACATCCATAAATAATTTGAGGACTAAAGATTGATCATGTCTGCCACATAGTCTTGGTCATTGAAGTCTTCATTATGTTGTTCGTCATTGTATGTAGCATTATCCCCATCCTCTCCAAATTGTTCTTGTGCTTGGTCTTCAACCACTAGTTGATTTCCCTGTATATCTTCGTTAACTCCCTCCTCTGGGTGGACAATATCATCCTGTGCAAATTGGTGTTCAGTTAGGAAAGTTGGGGTGTCTCCAGGCCAGGATACAATACTTGCAAAAGTTTCAGGTGTACGCCAAGGGAAAACAGAAGTCTCTCCATGATGTTGGTGTAATGTAAACCTGTGAATTGACAAAATGAGGGTTATGTTAAACAAATTAAATATATCCAAATAGTATGTAAAAGAAATTCTTTAAATAAAGTTTACTTGTAAAAATCCTCATTCAGCTGCGTGTACGCTCGGTTGTTTGCTGCGTTTTGTTGTTCTCTATGAGTCAAATGGTGTATGATACCAAAATCTGTATTTTGCATGTGAGGCATGGATGGTGTAGTTGTTGGTGGTGTCGCTGCAGGTGCTGCAGATGAGGTTGGCTGAGAAGAAGCTGGATTAGGATGCTCTAATGGATTAATGCAGTAATTTCTGATGAATTGAGAACTTATAGGTTTCTTCAATTTAATTGTTTGGTTGGAGCAGTCGGGAATCGTAACACCTTGTGAAGCACATAAAGTAGTAATCAAAGCAGGAAAACCCAAAGGCTTTGTCGCTACTGCAGTAGTGGAGGTGTTGGACATGATAAATTGGTGGATTTCATCTGAAATGATTGCTGCTATGTCCACAGTTAACTTCTCCATGAAGCTATAAATTAGATATGCTCGAGGCATGCGAACATCTGAGGTGTGTGTGGTGGGGGCTATGTTGGCAAAGAGAAACGATGTCCAGATTTATGCTAAAGTATTTAAACTTTGCCTCTTAAACCTCATTGCCTTTCCAACAGCATTTGTCTCAAAGGTTTTCCCGGGGATGCATAAGATCTTAGCTACCTCCTGGTCTACAAAACCTAAAAATCTCCTTCTGCGTTGTTGGTATTGGCAAAGCTCTCCTTCTGGTAAGGTCATAGGATTGCCTAAAAGTGCAGAAATAGCCTCCCTATCATAAGCAATTGTTTGCCTACGAACCCAGGACTTCCTCTCTGACTTATCTGGTATCAACGGCCATGCATTTGCGTAAAATTCTTTCACAATATTTTCATGTATTTGGTTAGGAAGATTTATCAAATATTGCCATTTCCTTCTGACAATTTCCTGCATAAATTCATCATACTCTCCTTGTTCTAATACTACTTTCCTCTCAGGTAGTAATTCTCTTTGCTCCAATTGAATGTATCTTTCAGCCTTTACCCTAGTTCTGAACCTAAATCTATCCCATGATAAGACTGGTGTATGTGTTTGTGTTTCTAGTGCCTCTTGGTCATCCATAACTTCATTTTGATGTGAACTTTGTCCAACCTCAGGTCTTTGCCTTTTTCTTTGAGGAATTGACTTCTTAGGTGCCATGCTGAAATTAAAATAAGAAATAAAATCATGAATTTTAGATTAAAAATCGATCAGTCAATATCCTAAATGAACCTGACATGTTATTTCACTTCAGTGTTATAAATGACTGAACATATGTGATTCGCTTAAGCTAAATAAATCCGCTTAAGCGGTCTTTGAGCCTGTGGATTTCAGGTATGACAACCAAATCGCTTAAGCGATTTTAACAGCGTACAAAATGAACATGGTGGGTACCCAAATGACAGTGAGGAAGAAATAATCAAAACATCTAGTTTGTTATCACATTACAAAATAAAAAATACATGTTTCAGAGTAGTTTGCATGTATCATATACAAGACTGACAATGGAACTTTCATTTAAAAAACAAATTGCATTCATTTTACAGGTTAAGAAGAAAGTACCTAATTTTAAACAGTTTGGAATGAAATCTACTGGGTTTAGGGTTTTGAGGTGGGAGAAGGAAGGAGAAATTTCAGAACACAGAACACAGGTATTGTGAAATGAGAAGTCTTGAAGATTCAAGGCTACTTTGAACTGTGAAGAAGTTAACCGTCACAAATTTCGCTTAAGCTAAGTTTTTTCGCTTAAGCGAGTATATGCTTAAGCGAAAAATACTGTTAACAAATTGTCGCTTAAGCGACTAAGTTAAGTGGAATTTTGCTTAAGCGAAAAATGTTCGCTTAAGCGGATGAATTTTCTAAGTGGCGCCAAAAGCTCACTGCATTGACGTATACTGGAAGTAATAAAGGCTTGCTTCATTCTTCCCTTCTATGTAGTGTGTACTTATTTTCTCGTGTGTGCATTTGATATAATTTGACACTTTTTATATCTACATCATTCACTTAAGAAAGGACCAGTATGATAATTCTGCTACTATGATTATACTAGGGAAGGTCCTGCCAACCGACGTCAACAACAACCAAGGGCTAATCTGACAACGTAAACGATAGTGTAAAGAAGCACATTTATTTGACATTGTGTTTTTCATTTACCTTATTCATTTTGAGGATTCAATGGTTATGATGTTTCTTCTTGAATTTTTGTTCTAAAAAGGAAATGGAATGCATGGATGTTGCATGGAAGCCACGTGTTGGGTTACAGTTTGACACTCTTGAAGCAGCATGGAAATATTGGTGTGAATATGGAAGGATAACAGGATTTGGTGTGAGGAAACAATACTGGAATAGGCGAAAGGTTGATGGTGTTATTTCATCTTGTCGGTATGTTTGTTGTAAAGAGGGACATCGAAAAGATGATAAAAGAACAGTGATGAAGCCCAGGGCAGAAACTAGGACTGATTGTCTTGTAAGAATAACATTATTTTTAGGAAGCAACAACAAATATGTTGTACATGAGTTTGTTGAAGAGCATAATCACCCATTACAAGTTCCAGAAACAACACACATGCTTGCTTCACATCGTAACATAACTGAAGTCCAAGCTCATCAAATCGATTTGGCCGAGTCCTCAGGATTGCAACAAAAATCCTCATTTCAGCTAATGAGCACACTTGCAGGACATCGAACTAATGTTGGCTATACTCCTCTGGATGCAAAAAATTATTTGAAGGCTAAGAGACAAAGGGGAATGTTATATGGAGAAGTTGGTTGCTTAATGGAATGCTTTCAGCGACAGTTAATTGAGAACCCATCATTTTTTCATGCATACCAAATGGATGCTGAGGAACAAATCACAAATGTTTTTTGGGCAGATGCGAAGATGGTAATTGATTACAGGTGTTTTGGTGAAGTCATATCATTAGACACTACATATTGCACCAACCAAACTAATAGACCTCTAACCTTGTTTTCAGGTTTTAATCATTATCAAGGTGTTGTTATCTTTAGGGCAGCCCTGTTGTATGATGAAACAGCAGAATCCTTTAAGTGGTTATTTGAGACATTCTTGGAAGCACACAATCAAAAACAACCTCAAACAATTTTTACAGACCAAGATCAAGCTATGGCCAAGGCAATTGTCCAAATAATGCCTTATACACATCATGCTTTATGCACATGGCATTTAATGCAAAATGGCATAAAACACCTTGGCAATTTGATGAAAGGAGAAAGTTATTTTTTAAGAGATTTGAAAAAATGCATGTATGACTTTGATACTTCAATTGAGTTTGAAGATGCATAGAGAAGTCTCATAACAGAATATAATGTTGAAGAAAATTCATGGATTACTTCACTTTATTCCATAAAGGAGAAATGGGCATCATGTTATCTCAAGGATGTGTTCACCCTTGGAATGCGAAGTACTCAATTAAGTGAAAGTCTAAACTCTGATTTTAAGGCATGTATGAAACCTGGTGTTGGTATCAAACAATTCTTTGCTCACTTTGAACGAGTTGTCGAAGACAAGCGTTACAATGAGCTGAAACATGAGTACGACTTTCGCTATAAGCTACCCATGTTGCGGTATGAGGTTTCACCAATCTTAATACAAATGGCCAAGGTTTACACACATACAATATTTAACTTATTCCAAGACCAGTTTGCTCAATTCTTAGCTTGTAGCATCTCACAAAGGATTGCAACTCCTCCTTTGGTTGAATATGTGATTACTAAAGTCCATCAACAAAGATCATGGACAGTTACGTTTGAACCTTCCTCAAGCACTATATATTGCTCTTGTAAGAAGTTTGAAACATTTGGCATACTTTGTTGTCATGCATTGAAAGTGTTTGAAGCCAGTGATGTGAAAGTTATCCCTAATAAATACATACTTAAGAGATGAACAACACATGGTCGTAGTGGGATTATTCATAATGTCAAAGGAACATAGGTAGAAGGAGATCCTAAACTTAGTACCATACGTCGATACCGTCACCTAGCAGGTAAAATGATTAGGTTGGCCTGTGACGTTTCTACTTCAGAAGAATATTGTCAGCTAGTTGATGACAATATTAACAACTTAATTAGCAAAATCACAAAGCTTCGACTACAAACAAATAGTCTTACGGATAAATATAAGGATGATGCACAAATGTCGGCCAATAATAATGGTACACAACCTAGGGGATTCAAGCTCCGACCAAGCACTAAGAGGAAAGGGAATAAACGTTTCAAAAGTTGGGTTGAGCTACAAGCAAATAGAAAGAAGAGCATAACTCCAATTTTAGATCAATCAACATCTCAGGTTCTTTTATATAATGATTTTGAATACCAAATATATACCAAATATATACAATTCAGTTAACTTCCATATTATAACCATATAATATAATAATATGGATGTTAATATGTTATAGGAATATCAACCAATGGTTTGTCATCCACTTGAAGTACATTGTTCGGCACCTCCAACTTATAATCCCCCTCACACATTACTTACTCAATTAAGTTTCACAGATTTGTTGAGAGTAATAATTTTCAACTTAACTTTACATTGTCTATTCTTTGATGTTGGTTCCTAATATATCTTCTTATCTTGTAGGGACCACTTCATGATATCAATGATTCTGGCCTGGATGATATTTGATTCTGTTGTTCTGGCCTGGATGACTCTGCTTCTTTTGTTTTTGAATTGCCTATGTAGTAATGAATCCTTTTTGTGTATATTTCATTATGAACAATTATGGACCATTAATGGAATAGACTCTTTATCCATATTGTTTTTTTGCCACATATTTATTTAATGTAGTAACTATTTCTGGATGAGTGAATTTGATTTTGATAAGCAATTTTGTAAAATTTTGACATGCTGTTACTTTCTGCATAATTTTTCCAATTTCTGCATAATTCGCTTAAGTCCTCAAATTCGCTTAAGCTATTTTAATTTCGCTCCAACCTCACAAGTTTGGCTTAAGCTATGCATCCATTCGCTTAAGCGAACCCAAATTAGCTTAAGCGATTTATGGTTCTGTGAATCAGTGCTCTCTGTCCCAAATTCGCTTGCATCCGCTTAAGCCAATAACGTATTCGCTTAAGCGAATATACAATAGCTTAAGCGAGTACCTTCCCTGCAATACATGGCTCTCTGTTCCAAATTCGCTTAATATGAGACAAGGCTCGCTTGAGCGAAACGAAGCGATTCCATATTCGCTTAAGCGGTGATTTATCGCTTAAGCGAATAATCTCCAACTCTCGCTTGGCCTCGCTTTGAAGCCAGGATTCCATAAATGCGTCGCTTAAGCTAAAAACTTTGGCTTAAGCGAAAATTCACTTAAATTCGCTTAAGCCATTGGAAATTCGCTTAAGCGAATTTGGACATGACGCTCATGTTTGCGCCAGAACATGAGAGGATCCGGATCCATATTTTATAAGAACTTGAATTATTAGCACATTAATCTATCAACGTTATGTTTTATTATAATTTTTTCATCATTTTAGTTATCCAAGCAAATTAATTTAGTTAAATTTTAATTTTTAAATTAATTTATCATCAAGTTAATTTTTATTGTTTCAATTTTTTTTAAAAAAAGAAAATGTATGTGATAATAATTTAAATATTTAAAAATTAATTTAGGGCAAGATTTTTTTAGTAAAAAAAAAAAAAAACAAACTACAAAATATGTAAATTATTTAAAAATTATAAACTTATAAACTGTATCTAAAGGATCACGTGGAAGATAAAAAAAGATATTCATACAATAGGTAACAAATTAGTTAGATTTTCAAGTATTAAGTTGTGATTACAAATAATATGACATATATAGACTTTGATGTGTTGTGAAATATAAGGGGTGAACCGATCTAATATTCAAATGTTATGAAAAAATAACTCATTAATTCTGAAGTTTATATTTGAAATGTTAAAAAAATCAACTAAATTAGCAATTGATCAAGTGTAATTCAACAAGTAAGAATTGTATCAAGATTTGTATATCACCCTAAGCTTTAATTTATTTTGAAGAGCTAATTTAATAATTTTTTTACTATTATTTTTATGTATTTTATACTTTATAAGTTATAACATATATCTTAATTGAAAATATTGTCCAGAATGCTCACTGAAATTATAAATAAATCTTTAAGAGTACCAATATCTTAACATGAAGGATATTCAGAGTAAAATAAACACAAATGAAATAAAACATGATCTAGAAACTTTTAATTTTTAAATAAACATATAACAAACTAAAAATATTAACTTCGTTGTTACATAAATAATTTAGATATTTACATTAGTTAATAATTTTTTATGAAATATGAATTAATCAATCTAATCATTAGTTTGAATATAACAATCTAAAAATATTAACTTCGTTGTTACATAAACAATTTAGATATTTACATTAGTTAATAATTTTTTATGAAATATGAATTAATCAATCTAATCATTAGTTTGAAGGATCTTATAAATAGATTAATTTTATAAAATTTTATATAAAAATAAAATGAAAAGAAATTTAAATATTTATATCAATTAATAACTTTGTGTAGTTCTAACTCTGGAAAACAATCCGTAGTGTGCTGGTTGAAGACTTTTACACCAACTCAACCCTCAAAGTTGAACAAACACGCTATTTTTGGATATGTTAAAACTCAAACATTCACAACTGAACCCAACTGACGCCACTAACAGCAAGAGGAGGAACTGGAAACAAGCTTCGACATATTCTAATGGATCGAAAGATACTAAGTTCTGTTATATATTTTGTTTAGAAAATGATAAATGCAGTGGAACTAAAATGTGTTTTTTTTTTTTTCCCATTCCATCTAATACTCTTTTTTTTCCCTCTAAATATCTAAATAATGAAATAGTAACTTTATTGTGTTCAATTTCACCACATTCTATTTTATCCTATCTCATTTCATTAGATATCTAAACACCCAAACTTAGCCTTAAGGAGATAGAACCTTCGCACTTCTGCAATAAAATTTCCAGGGGATTTTTGACCTAACTCTGTTTTTCTTCTTTTGCGGACTAGATGCCTTGGACCGAAATCCTTGATTAGATTGCTAACACCAAAAATGGGAGACCTCCCACAAAACTAATGACATATTGAATGATATATCTGGGTAAACATTGATTTTATTCACATTCATTCTTAAATATTTTAGAAATTTAAGAATCTATATGAAAAGGATTTTGTGAAAATTTTCCAAAATCTATTAAAGCAGTTCTCATATACGGTTAGATACATTAGGGTTTTTTTTATTCAGGATCACAAGTAGCTTCCACAAAAAATAATTCTGATCAAGTTAAGAACAGTATAACGTGATTAAATTAGCTCTCATAATGTTTTTTTTTTCCTCACAAAATTCGAACTTTGGGATTGCTTACTTTCCGTGGAATTTTGGGTTGGCCTTTATCCAAATGATTAGGAAGTTGATTTTATTTCATAATGTGAAGACGTGTGCATAAGTTCTTCGACTTTTTATGTGATATAAAGAGTACAAAACGATGCATGTTACTGATAGTTGCACCAACAGCATTAAGAGTGAGCTATTTGAAAGTTGAAACCAGATGACATGTACTCCCAACGCCTTTGTTGGCGAAGTCTAAGACAATAACCTAAATTGTTTGCCCATGTTACCAGGTTTTGCCTATGTCTTGAGTAAATTAACTCCCACAAACTCAAAAATAATAGAGACATAATACAATATTTGTTCCGAAAGAAAAATAGTGCGACCATACACAATTTAGACAACCTTATATATAATTAACCAAATATTGCAGCAACCTATGAATCTACTGGTAAAGGGAGATCTAAAACAAAGGAAACCTAGAACAGAATATAATAAAATATTCATATTTAAAATCAAGCAAAAGGCCCTCCAGCTTTAGCGGGAGAGCCGGAGAGTTATTACATCTCTCCACTTATTGACCCAAGAAAATCTCTCCATACAAAATAAACCATACGCAGTAATGACCAAACAAGGGATAAACATATATCCTATCTCAAAAAAGTATGTAGTCCTCAACGAATAGTTTTAAAATGCCCCATTAATAATTCTTATAAACATCGAAGTCCTAAATCCAAAATTAAAGATTTTCGTAAACTAAGAATTGTTATTCTATTCTCTCTAGCTCAAGTATAAACAATTCGTCTAGTACAAAACACACATGTTGAACTACAAGTCAATGTGGCATCCTCAATCAATGTAAGACATGGTATAGAGTTCATACGAATCACAAAATTATAATTCACTAAATGGATATGTATACAGTAAAAAAAAATGGATATGTATACGCCCCATAAAATCTAATAGAACAAATACTTTAACCTCCGTATATCAATTACTGTATTTCCAGCATTAAATTCATTTAAAATCAGGATATCTGCAAGAGAATACACATTTCCATTTGAAAAGGTGATCACGCATATACAATTTTAACAAAAGAACATGTCTAGGCCGTCTTTCGGATGCACTAAAGATGTATTTTTTAAATGGAGAGAGATCTCTAAAAATGCGTTTTCAAGTATCTCCATACCCCTGATTTCTCAAGGCTTAGGGGCATACAAAACAGGATTAACCAATATTTCATTCAAAACCAGTATTTAAAGGAACTAATAAATGATAAAGAAAAGAAAATAAAACTTGAATGCAATATCTTCAAAGTAAAATCTAACAATCTTTTAAATTCTTTAAAACTGTGTTGAAAAAAACTGAATATCTCATCTGATCTTTTGAGATTTAACCTAAATGAAGAAAGTTTTCCTAGGGTACTCTATTCATTTTTAAGCCACATAATTGGGTCAGCTCTATGGCATAAATTACAATGAATTGCCCATGGCAACAATTCAGGAAAAAATTTGTTGAGTCTGCAAGAACAATGAGTTAAAATTTTCAAGAAAATAAATGCTTTCCCAAGGATCTAAATTTGCGTCCCTGTTCTTTAAGATTCTTAGGAAGTATTTATGACTTTCACTCAGACAAAATGATGAGTCGGGTATTCATGCTCATAACCATTATAATCATAATAAAGCCTCTCCCCCTTAGAAATATCACGAGTAGCAACCAAAAAGACCCTGCATTCACCATTAACACTGTATCTCACACATTTACAGTTCTGCTTCTTCCTACCTTCCCTGCATACAAATTGGATGTGCTTTAAATGCAAGAAACCTCAAAATTAGCAATTTATTGCATGCGTTAAAAAGGTAAAGTTTGATCCTAAAAAGTTGAGTTCTTTAAAGAGCATGCCAAAGCCAAACCACTTATTAATAAGACTAAAAGAAGTATGTCCACATGAAAGGAGGAATCTTACGTGAAAAGTTCCTTTTAATTTTTTCCTCTATTCTCGTGTTCTATTCTCTTTATTCAAGTCTTGCCATGAGATAAATGAAACAGACTTACTGTGTATGATTGTTGATACCACTGATAAATCGAGCAATGTTTCCACGTTTATCAGCACAGATAACAAGACCTTCACAAGGATCTGAAGCAAGAAGAAGGGTCATCATACTGTCACAATCATCACGTTCCCGGTTCTTAATGTAATCCACATCGCCAGTGTATTCAGCAATAATCGTCATATCCTTAATTGGGCCATCAGCCTCCACGGTATAGCTACATCACAATATCAAGAGAAGTCCACTAAGTATTAAGGTACCATAAGTTGATTTCCCACTTCATGGCGATGAGTTCAAGATGAGTACCCTTCATGTGAATCATAAACAACCATAAAGGGTGCGCATTCGCCTCTTTTAGACATAGCTCTGCAGTGTTCTACGGTCTCCATATCTTCCTTGGATAGAACCTAAGATGAAACAATATAAAACATTCTATCAAACTAGAACACAGTGATGGAGATGTGCAAACTAATAAATTAACCTGTTTGTCACATGTCCACTTCTAGGGGTAAAAAATCTATAAGAAAATTAATTAGTTGAAACCTGCATGCCACCATTTTCTAGTGTGGATTGATTAGCGGATCTAGGAGCCATTCCAGGCAAGTATGTGAGGTGATCACTGAATTCCATACGTAGTGCTGTTAAAGCAGAAGCAAGGGAACGCATCTGATTCAATCTCCGGGCAGAATCTTTTGTAGGAACAAAGGGTAACAACCTCCTCTTTTTCTTTTGTAAAACCAGAGATCCTGAACGTTTCCGGCGTTTCTTTGCATCTACAAGTCCAAAACAGATAAATAAAGGAAAATATCTTTCAATCAGATATAATATGTTGATAATTATATAGACATTCCACAAAGTTGAGGCATAAGTATACTTTAGAGTACCCTTAAAAATTACCTGAATATTAAAAGCATGATTTCAATACAAGATCATAAAATTTTAAGAAAATATAAACTATCTTTTTTGCCTCCTTTACCAATAAAAACATATCTAAAGATTCACGGTACATCCTGCGTGCAATAGAAACAAACAAGAACATAGGCCTTTTTGCCCAGTCTAGGAAACAAAAGCATACAGGAATATACTTCAACAAAAACCTGAGGGAACAAATATGCAAAGGGATTACTAATATGCATTATTTATTGTGTTGCCTCCATTACTTATAATGAAGAGTTCACGCAAATGTAGTGTATCAAACTTTTTCTAAAGTAAGCCAGAATTCTTTCTAGTTTCCATGAAAAGTTCCCATAGTAACTCCATGTATTGTCAAATCATAGATTGCTTTTTTCAAATCAATCTAATGTCACATATAAATCATGGCTCCAGCATCGATTTCAATTTTTCTTGTTCCTTCAACTAAAGCACTTAGTATTTGAGTTGTTAAGAATTGTTTACAGCCTTTTGATGTATCTATTCCAAGCATTGGTACTTTCACTTCTGAGTTACAAATGAAGATAATATGATTCAAAAGAATCATATTATGGCATTCATTTAGAAAACAGCAATTTAATACTCTTAAATTTGACCTACTGCAGTTAATGTCCTTTATATAAATATTAGTAGGTTCACATAACTTTTGAATTAAATGAGGTATCAGTGCATTCTCATACAAAGCCAAGGGAATTCAGGGTTATTAATGAAAGAAACAAAAAATAGGTCAAGGACACTTCTCTACAAGCATGATCTAGGCTGGCCAAGTGGATGTGAATAGCCACCTAGCCATCATCCCCATAGAATTTGCGAAGACAATTTTAGATGAACAATATTATCATTTTACTGTTTAAGAACCTCAAGAAAAAAAAGAAAGACTCCTAGAACGAATGCTAAACAGTTAGACAATTTATTTGCTTTTTTTGCCGTATTACGAGAGATACTGAATGAGATCAACTGCTCCAAAATCTGCAAGCTTGGAAAATATGACCTAGCAGCTGACTCACCAATCATTTTCAAATTGACATGCAACAGAAATTAAAAGATGAATACTTTCATCTAATACCATATTTCTTCGAGTCAAACTTAAATGTCATCATGAAAAAGAGAGGCATGTATAAGGAATAAAATAAAAAACTTCAGTAGCTATCTGTTCACTCAACTCAACCACAATCTATGCAGGTAGCTTTAATTATTCTACTTATATAGGCACAGTAAATCCAACATAATTGTCCATTTGGTAATATCTATCAATAACCAACACAATCTATAGCAAATCAAGCTTAAAATTTGCATAGCTCTGCAACAGAAACGTCTGTACTCCCATATCCTGCATAAGTTCGAAAGAAACACTCCACAACCATGGAACTGCATTCCAAAAGGCTCGAGAACATTAAGCCCTCATCCAAACATGCATGCTGCATTCGCAAGAGGTTAGTACAAATTCGAAAAGACCGTTACATGAACTCATTCATGTCTCTAATAAACTCGAAAGACACAAGCTATACAACACATATAATTCATGAGCCAGGCTCTGATGTAGAATTATTTTTCGCATTTAATTTGGTGCGGCAATTGTATATCAAGCCTGAAACCAAATTCAACCCACATTACCTTCACAAAGCCAAAAATCGATTAAAAACTCGACTCACAAGAACAAGCCAAATAGCCAGACTGAATGTGAGTTCTCAAAATTATTATTAAAATGATTCAAATAAACAAAAAGAAAAGAGACAGAGTGAGAATAAAAGGTGTCGTTGATAACGAACAAACATGTCTGAATTTCATCACATTACCCTGAGAAGAAGAACCTTTGTCTGTAACATCATCAGAACACTTCTGAATCCCGAAGAAATTAATTATCTTCTTCTGAGAGAAACCTGAAACGCGCAGAAACAATGCCACATTCATCATCGCTCACGAGAAAAACATGTGAACGGAAAGAAACACGTTTCGAGAACGAAGAAGAGAATCCCTTACTCCGCACTCTCCTCTCTCCAGAACACTTGGGACAAAGCCACGATCCAATCGGAACCCTCACGACGATTGGCCTCACGCATTTCATATGAAAGCCTTTGTCGCATTTATCGCACAGCAGCAGCTCTTCCGGCAGCTCGCCGGAGCCACATTGCTCGCAGGTCAGGTCGCTGTAATTATCGCGCTCCACCACCGCGTACGGCGCCTTCGCCATTATCTCCGTCATCGACTTGTACTTCTTCGCGGGAGGTGCGTCCGGCGGACGGCGCGGGTGGCGCGGCGCCTGCGTGCGCCGGCTGAAGCCGATGTGCCGCTGAGCCGACGGGGATGAGGTGGCAGGAGCCATGCGGATTGGAAAATTCGAGAAGATGTGAGGGTAGAATTGGAATTTTGGAAGAAACGTTTTTCCGAGCTCTCGCTATAGAGGCAGACGAGAATGGTGTGAACTGTGGAGACGAAGGTGAAAAAAAAATGGAAAAAGAAAAAACGGGTTTGTTTGTTTGTTTTTTTCTTTTCTTTTCTTTTTTTCTTTTTCTTTTATACTTCTCTCTCTCGCGGGAGAGTGTTGCACATCCTGGTGGAAGAAGGTTAATGCTACGACCCATGACGTGGAGAGTTATGATTGGTTGTACTATCGTGCACCAGGTTTGCGCACTAACTCTTATGCGTGAACAATGCGCACTGTTCCGTGTTTTCTCACCGAGTCGTAGCCGTTTCTGCGCTTGATGAGACGAAAATGGCCTCGTTGATTGGTCAACCTTCTGACGTTCTGTTCATTTCAATTTTTTCAAATTTTTGACTAAAAGAAAAAATTACTATTTCCTTTAATTTTTTATAATTTTTAATATAATATTTTAGTAATATTTAATACTCTTTATATTTTTTTTATCATAATTACTGATTTTTAAAAATTTTAAATAATTAACATTAATACGATAGTAAAATTTATTGTTAAATAGAAATAAATCTAAAATATCATAATTATTTTTCTTATTAATTAACCTTAATATTTTGTCTCAAATTGTGTAATTTACTTAAAATGTTTTTATAAATAGAAGTAGAGTTTAGTGAATGGTTTTAAATCTAAAACTTTTTAATATTTTTTATTTTAAATTTATTAACTATTGCGCACAAAGCAATAATTAAAATATAACAGAATTTGAAAACGTCGTACGATGATAGCATTGGAAATTGTTAATTTATTGTGTTCATATTAATTATCCTGTTTTTTTAAAACATTTCAGTGAATAAACATACATGTTAAAAAAGTTAATAATATTTTTTCTAATTAAAAATGTAAATATTTAATATTACAAATTCATAAAAAGTATTTACTGCATGCTTTTTATAATAATATATTTAATATTTAATATGATGTACTTTATATTTAAACACATTAAAAATTATTAAAAATTTATCTTAGCCACTGTGCACGTTGCTTTGTTTTTTACTATTTAAGATATAATTTAATGACCGAACTGTATGCATGTAATAACTAATTTATTGATTGCAAAATCTAATGTGACATTTATTAAAAAAAATTAATGTGATGTCGTGCTCTTCGGATTCCCCGATTTAATAAATGTTGATCCTTTTAGTTTATTGTTCGAAATTTTAAACAATTAATAATTATGAGCTGTTTTCCAAGTAAAAATAAAAAAATGTTTTGAGTTTGCGGTATCTTTCCACTCAATACATTGGAGATAAGTTTTTCTTATATAAGTTTATAGTGTGTTTGGAAAAAATAAACTAATTTTAAATTTATTTAATTAAATTAAACTTATTTGAAAAATGAGTTTTACTTTAATATGCAACAATTTTTTAAGTTATTCAGATATTTTGATGAAACTAATAAATAAATTAGTTGAAACACTAAATTTAAAAGTTAAAAATTAAAGAATACTCTATCTGGTTTTATTTATAAAAAATAAAAAAAATTATATCACTAGAATTAAAGAAAATAATTAATTTACTTATATTTTTTATAAATATAAATTTTATTTTAAAATTACTTATAATATTAAATGATATAGTTGATCTACTCGTTGTCTTATTAAACATATATTTAACAATAAAATAATAATATAAAAGAAATTCAATAATTAATTTATTTTAAATATGTTATATATTTTTTATAATAAGGAGATCAAGAAAATATTTAAATTTATTTCTTATAAAAAATATTAGAAAGAAATAAATATAAGTTGACAAGTTGGATATTTGAATTTAAAAAGTATACAATAAAATTAGTCTTTTAAACTAGTTAATTAGTATAAAATATATAAAAGCGGAAGAATCTTTTAATATTAGTGTAAGTCTAAAAACTCTTACAATTAATTTGAACTTTTAATTTAATCTACATTTAACGGATTATAATTTATTACTTTACTCATCTTTAGATATAAATGAAAGACTTAGATTAAGTGTAAGAGTTTTTAGACTTATACTAATATGAGAAAATTTTATCCGTATATAAAAAATTAAACTTAATTATACTAACAAAAATTAATTATATTTATTTTTAAATAATTAACTCTTCTAAAATTATAATTTATTTTAAATATTTCATCATCTTAAAAAGTATATGATAATTTTTAATTTTATTTTTAAATAAAATAAAATTATATAAATGAACTTATATTGTATTTTAATTACTTTAATTTACAAAGAAAATAAATTTATAATTTTGTTGATTTTTTGTCAAGAGCATACTTTTAATTTTCTTTTTCTCTGTTTTATAAATTTTTTTATCATTGAACAAAATATTATATTAATTTAATCAATAAAATTACATTTGATGGAAAATTATAAGGTTTATTTTAAAATTGATTTTACATAACAAATTTTAAAAACTATTTACATTTTTTGTAATTTTGAAATTTTATCAAATAACATTGAACATGTTATTAAAAAAATTTAAAATAAAAAAAAATAAGAAGAATGGTAATGATAAGTACTATTATATTGATAATTTGTGAAAAAAATAAAGAAAATGTTATGATAAAATAATAAATTTAAGATTGAATGAAAATTAATAAACTAAGATTAAAGTGCAAATGTTACTTGATAGGTAAATAGATTTGAAGAGATTTAAAGTTTCTAAACTCATTGTACTTTAATATGTTATGAGCGTGATATAAACCATGTGTAGATATATTAATTTCTTTGAAAGTAGCTCATTGATCTTCAGCCTGTTCAAGGAACTAGTGTGGATCTGTAAGCAAGCTAATGGGTAGATATATTCTACTATTATATGAGTACTTGGTAATTGTTGTTCTTTTAGTTTTTAAAAGAATAAATGGACAAGAAATATTGCATTGACAAATTTATACTTAAGATTATTTTTAGTAAGGAGACGTGGGAGTGATAAATAATGAAAGATTTGAGATGAGTTGACTGTGTATGAGAAATTCTTTAGAGAAGACAATTGTTTTTATGGGAGAAATATTTACAACAGCAGTTGTGTGAAACTGTAGAGAATAAGAGGACGAGAAAAAATGTAAATAACATGTTGCCATAAAAGTGTGATGTTTACAAGAACTATAATGTACAATTTATTTATCACTACATTTATCATTTTTTTAATGCAGGTAGTGGTTTGGAGCTGGTCTAGTGCAGGCCTTAGCCAAGATTTGGAAGGTCAGTACGCCAAAAAAAACTTGACCAAACGTAGATTGTTAGATTCACTCAAAAGCTTGTGGGTTATGTAATACTGAAGATGAAAACATATTGTATTTTTTTTTTTGCATTGCGATATTTTCATAAAACTGTAATACGTGTTCGAATAGTTTGTATCTTTTTTTTAATGTGACTTAGGCTCAAATAATCGACTTTAGGGTTTTAGAAAGTAAAATATTTTTTTAATAGTTTTGAAATAATATTTAAAGTATTATTTTATCTTTTAAAGTCTTAAAATAGTTGGGGAAGTATTCAAAATCAATTATTTATAACACTAAAAGTTGTTGAAAAAGAAATATTTATGCAATGTTTGTTTAAAGTTAATAACATTATTATCTTTTAAGAAAATGTACCAACATTAACATGTTCATTTATAGGATTTTGTAAGGAATTTTTTATTTAAAATTACATAATCAGTGTAACTTCTGAAAATTTTGAAAAATTAATCAAAGTTGTAGATGTGGAATACGACTAACCTTTTTTTATTTTGTTTATGCCTACAAATTTGTGGAAAGTCTGAGCATTTTTCTAACTCTTTTTATATTTAGAAAATTTCTGATGGTAAATAATTATACTTAATATATCTTAAAATTTATTCTTATTTGTGATTCGTAATTGTTGTTGATCTAAAAAAATGTACACATGTTAAAAATCGTTACAGAATTTTCTGTTCAAATAAATTAACTATATACATGTAAATATAACATGGCCTTACATTTCTACATCAACTCTGAGTTAGCTAATTTGTACTCTACTTCTATGGTTTATACTCAATTCGTAATTTTTTTTCAAAAGTTACAATAGTAAAACAATTTTTAAAATAAATTACCTTAATCATGTAAAAAAACAATTTTTTACATAATAGACTTTTCCAAAGTTCATTTTATCTTGGAAAAATATAATTTTAAAATAGAATATTATATTAACTAGTAGTATTTTTAGAGCATTAATTAATAAAAAAACAGTACATTAAAATTATATTAAAGTGCATTAAAAATCACATGAAATAATATATTGTTATATTTTCAATACTTTTGATTTTCGAAAACGGAAAAAATATATTCTAATGTAAAAATTGCTAAAAAAATAATGAAATTTAATTTAACCTATGCTTATTCTACCATTTTTTTCCTTTTTTTTCGTTAAGGATCTGAGTGTCTTGATATGCAAAGAGATAATTTAGTTCTATCATTCATCGAATGATCTTGGTTTTTTCCCTTTTGTGTTCTTATTAATTTATGGCCATAAATTTATTTTATAAATTATGCTTATTACGAGTTTTAAATGACTGTCCATTAATTACTATATTTTCTTTTTTCTTTTTCAATTATATTAGTTAGGCGCGCTAAAAATCCAACATTTATTTTAGGATATGGGTTAATATAATGCACATTTTTATGTTACTTGTCTTTAAATGAAACCACTAGCAACAAATTAAAAATTATTTACTCACCAAAAAGATAACTAAGGAATTGGCTACATTTGGAATTTACCACAATTCTAATTCAAAGTTTGTAAACTGTACATATGTAAATATCATGCTAAGAGGAAAAAAAAATAAACCTGACATATATACAAATCAAAATGGTACAATTTGCTTTAGATCGATATCTTAACTACTACAAATTAATTAAGGCTTTGCTGAAATTACTTGTTATGTTATCATAAGAAAAATATTAATCCAAATTAATTTATATCCTATTATGACTTTTTTCCATTTCTATACGCAATTGTTGTTTTAAAATAATTTATTATTAAGTAATAACATATTTAAAGATA